CCAGATCATGCTGGATCCATCCCTGTGTTGCAAAATGTATTTTCTTCATAGTCAGGCATTCACATGAATGAAGATTAGAATTTCATCATGTTATATAGTCTTAATTATTTAGGAGGGGTCTCCATTATTAAATTAAGAGATTAAAAAGGGGTCCCATGACATTTTGACATAAGAATCTCCCACCCCACCCTAGGGTATAATGAATGGTCACTTAAAGTACATGCCATCTTGTAACTGGTTGGGTGCCTTGCCCCTTTTATGATGGAAAATCTATTTCCTACCTAAAAATTCAAATCAACTCTCCACCCTGATAATGTGCAGATGGTAACAGCAAGAATTGAAGCAAGCAAGCTTTATTGGAGTACATACTATTATTAGGAAGCCTCAATTCGCACATGCTATTTTGCCAGTCATGATTTTAAACGGAATATTTCTTATCTGCCCTCTCCCTTCCCTCCTTGTGTCAAATGTCTGTCACATCACCAATAAGGTGACTGAACTATCTGCTGTTATTTCCAATAACAAATCAACAATAAATTTGATAGTAGAATCATGGTTAACAGACGACGTTCCCAATAGCTTTATAAATATTGGCGACAACTATCTTATTTTTCGTCTTGATCGACCAACACCCGGGGGTGGAGTTTTAGCGTACATCGATAAATCGGTACCAGTATCTCGTCTGCCAAATCTTGAAGAAGCTGGAAAAGAGGTACTTTGGCTGCTCCTTAAACTCCACCGCTCACCGATACCCTTTAGTGCTATCATTGTGGTCACCGTTTATTATCCACCGGGGCAGTCTGTTGAGAAAGAACATGAAATGATAAGCTACCTCACAGATGGTCTGGACAAGGTCCTTCATTCTCGTCCTTCGACAGGAATAATTATCGCTGGGGATTTTAACAAATTGAATTTAAGACGCCTATGTAACCGCTTTAACCTAAAAAAAATGGTTTCGACCCCCACAAGAGGTAACATCATCCTAGACCAGATTTTGACCAACATGGCTGACCTCTATTTACCTGCCAAACATCTACCTCCCTTGGGTCGTTCTCACCACCAATGTTTGCTGTTATCCCCCCAAAATGTCAACAAACTTCCCCCTACTTCCAAAAAAGTTAGACTACATAAACCCAAAAACAAACAAACATTGAGTAGAACTGTTGCCCTCCAAAACTGGGACAATGTTTTAATGGCAACAGATGTGGATGATAAAGTCGAAGCATTTAATAGAACGATACTCTCTTTGCTAGACAAGGCTATCCCAGAAGTGACAATCCGAATGCATACATCAGATAAACCTTGGATTACCCCAAAAATAAAGGCACAGATTAAAGCTAGGCAAAAGGCTTACTGCCGTGGTGATAAACCCAAGTACGACCAATTATGTAAAAAGGTCTCAAAGTTAATTCGGAATCCAAAACAATCGTTTTATCATACCGAAGGGAGAGATCTTCGCCAAAAAGATCCTGCAAAATGGTATAAAACTGTCTATACTCTTTTGGGTGCTGAAACGAATCATAACTCTTTACAAACTCCATCTAATGAAGATCTGTCAAAGGTTGCTGAAAACCTACAAACTGCTTTTACAAACCCATGGAAAGATATCAATGTTGACCTCCCGGACATAAATGAAGTTAATCACTTACTTAAGGATACGTCACCACCGCTACCTTCCTTAGGGCAAGTACGTTCCTGCCTAAAGCACCTTAACCCAAAGAAAGCAACAGGATAGATAAAATCCCTGCCTGGTTTTTAAAGCACTACTGTGATGATCTTACGCCAGCGATACATAGTATCATAACAGGCAGCATTACCCAATCCAAGTATCCTACTGCGTACAAGCATGCAATTGTAACTCCGGTACCAAAGATACATCAACCCAAAGATATAAACAACGATTTCAGGCAAATTTCTGTGCTTCCTCATCTAGCTAAAATGATAGAGAAAATCCAGTTGGAACTCAACTCTCATGATCTGGCAATAAAGGACAACCAACATGCTTTCGTTAAAAATCGATCTACTGTTTCAGCCCTGATCTCGATGACCCAGAAGTGGTTTGATGTAACAGATAACTCCAATATTGGAAGAAAAGGGGTCCATACTACGTTTTTGGACTTCAAAAAAGCTTTCGACCTTGTCGACCATAGAATTCTATTAATAAAATTAGCGGAAATGAATGTATCAAAGGCCTTCTGGTCGTGGGTGAAGTGTTTCCTTACAGAGCGGACTCAACATGTGAATTTACATGGTGTTATATCCTCAAGCGCCTGTCCAGCTGGAGTCCCGCAAGGCTCCGCTATTTCCCCAACACTGTTCAATATTCATATTAATGATTTGGAAAACACGTTAACAAACAACTTTACAAACACGCACAAGTATGCAGACGACTGCACTCTTGATGAGGTCGTTGCAAACGGAGCCCTTTCAAACATGCAGGAATCGACTAATCAAGTGATGAATTGGGCCAATGATAATAAAATGGTGGTGAATCCCAAAAAAACTAAGGACATGTGGATCAGTTTTTCCCAATCCTCTCCTGAACTGCCACCTATACAAACGGATGGAATTGAAATAGAAAGAGTAAACTCCTTCAAACTTCTCGGTGTATGGGTGAAAAATGACTTAAAGTGGAATACCCATGTTTGTAAAATAACAAAAAGAGCAAATAAGCTATTATTCCTTCTCAGAGAGTGTAGGAAATCCTTCCTACCACCCGAGATTGGTTTATTAACATATACGTTGAAGATCCGGCCAATACTTGAATACGCCTCTCCAGTTTGGGGTGGAATCCCTAAATATCTTGAAGTAGAAATTGAACGTGTTCAACAAAGAAGCTTGAGAATCCTAGGATTGGAGAAAGATACCCTCCCTACACTAAAAGAAAGAAGGGACAAGGCAACATGCAACGAGCTGAAAAGGATCGTGGAAGTCCCAAACAACCCATGTAATCGTTTCCTATCTGGTAATAAGAATCACACTTACGAACTGAGAAGGACCAGAGACAGCACTCCAAGACAGCTCTCAAAAACACACAGGCATAGTACGTCTTTTATCCCAAGGGCATGTAGATTAACCAACTCATGAAATTAGATCATTGTACATATGTATATAAAACTTTTTAAACTTTCTAAGTTTTACATTCTCATAGGTTATATATGTATTTTAGTATAATATTTTTAACTTGTAAATCCATTGTATTTCTATATGCCAAAGATGGATATCTAATAATAAAATTGAAAATTGAAAAAAAAAATTCTTAAGGTCTTGTTTACATTTTACTGGAAGCAAACTAAGATGCATATCCAATATTTGGGCCATATCACTCGTATGTCAGTTTTGCAGCTTGCCAGCTTCAACAACATTTGGCTGCAAGGAAAACGTAAACAAGGAAAGAGCATATAACACTTCATCTGTGTTTAAAATATCAATCAGAGCTGCCAAGTCTCACGGTTTACCCGTGAGTCTCCAGGTTTTCGCGCTGACCTCCAGGTCTCACGGTTGGTGTTGAAAATCTCACGGAATCCATTAAAATGGTCCTTTATGCATGGAGTCTGCATCTATGCTCTGAAAAAACACACAATTTGCGAAAATATCGTCTGGTCTTTCGAATAAAAATCCGTACGTATTTGTAAAATGACACTCTCGTTAAAAAAAATAGTAGCGTGGAAGTATAACGTAATCTAAACGTGAATTATGTGTGTGCGAGCTAACTTTTTATAAGCATGCCCTGTCAACAATAATAAAAAGTCAACAACAGGGGGGGGGGGGTACGATCTACGAACTAAAGGCCCCAGCAACCTCCAGGTTTTTGACTGATCATCTGGACTTGGCAGCTCTGTATCAATGAATAAATATTCCAACCATTGGCACTTTATAATATAAGTGACATTCAACAATAAATTGATCAATAACATATACAGTATATGCAAAAACATTTCTTTGAATCACTGTATAAAATATTCCTCATAAACTCGCTCCAATCGTCGCACAGCAGAGTCTTTGGAAGGGTAAAACCAAGTTTAATTAACATCCCCAGTTCAAAACACTTTCCGTGTCCTCTTAGGCAAGCCTGTCCAGCTGGAGAACATCTGTTAATTTTGTTTAGCGAACGAACGATATTTACCAAACCCAGTTGGAAGAACAGCAACTACATAGTTCCCATGTAATAAAAGCTGAAGAATCTGATTTCGAGTACGTAGGTAGCAAAAAGAAGGAAAAATTTCAAAGACTAAACGCATTTTTAAGCCGCTTTAAGCACTTAAATTTTGTGGACACTCTTAGGTTGGCGGCCATCTTGGATTTTCTAATCATTATTATTATAATTTATTACACCCACTATATCTGGGTGTTGAAAGTCATGTGACCGGCCGGTGCCAGGGCCTTTTCCCGCCTTCCCAATGACAAAAAGGGAAAAGCCCTGGGAACGAGGTTGGGCAATTGCCCCCCCCCCCCAGATATATAGTTAAAAAAGGCACTGGAACGATAACTTGTTTAGGTGCTTCAGAACCGGGGGGTTGGGTGCCAGAATAATTCGTTAATTTACCACTTTAAAACCTCTTGCCCGCAATTTGGACAGTAATTGTTTCCTTTTTCAAGAGCATTTCCACAACAATGACAAAATTTACTCGACCATGAACTTTCGCCATCCATATTTAATATTGAAAGCATGCTCGACCAAGACACAGGAGACCAAGACGATCAGTTGACAGATACTTCCTAAAATTGGATTTAGGCCTTCCATTTCCGGTAGTCGGGTTGTTAAAAATATTTGTGTTCGATTAATAAACGTGTTCGATTAATAAACGTGTTCGCTTAATAAATGTGTTCGCTTAATAAACGTGTTCGCTTAATAAGTGTGTTTGCTTAATAAACGTGTTCGCTTAATAGACGTGTTCGCTTAATAAACGTATTCGCTTAATAAACGTATTCGCTTAATAAACGTGTTCGCTTAATTGTTCGCTTAATAAATGTGTTCTATCTATATTTTTGTGTTTCATCTAAATATTTGTGTTGCCCTTGTCGGCCACCGTAAAATTCAACATGCACTCAATGAGATTGAGCTGACACAACAAGAGGTTTAAAAAATAAGGTAAGATAAAATAAGGTAAATAAGGCTACAAACAATCCATAACTTGTTGGTATCTGCTGCCATACTTACAGGTATTACCTGCTGTAAAATTCTGAATTTTTTTTATCTTCTCTATTGCTTGTTTGTGTGATGTTACTCTGAGTGTATATCCACACCGGGCAGGCTTGAAAAATATGCCTGCCCACGGTGGAAATCGAACCTACGACCTTTGGAATACTAGCCCAATTGCTCTCTCCACATGTATCCTTTCCTTAGCAATTCTTCTTGTCTTCACCTCATCTTCAATGGATAGCTGATTCTGATCTTTCAAAAAAGGGGGGATGTGTAATGTGACTCCATCTGGCAGACAATCCTCAATAAGAAAACCTTTATCTGCCGTAATCTGATCTCCTTCTTCTAGCAGTTTAAGAATCCCACAATCCTTTGTTAGCTCTTTATCTGATGTCCTCCCAGAATGAAGTTCTGACACAAACGTGAGAGTTCCTGCAAGTGAAATGCCGACAAGTCCTTTAGCAGTATTATGGTGCTTATATGAGGAGAATGTGGCTCCTTGAGTAACTGGTGCAGATGGCATTTCAATAAACATCTCCGTGCAGTCAATGACTACCCTTGTCTGTGGAAAATTTTCCTTGAAACTTGCTGGCATTGTAGCATCAACATGTTTTCTGGAAGGCCAAATAGGAATCGATTGTAATCTTTGATATAGGAAATCCAGCCAAGTTATCCATATATTACTAACTTGTGACACAGAAATGTTGTACCTTGCAGCAAGGTCTCCCTCAAGCAAACCACATCTTAATTTGGTAAGAACAAGAAAAAATTCTTCCTCTGGGCTTAGGAATCGTTTGCGGCCACGTTTTTGCTGCTCTGCAGATTCAATCTTGCCATTGTTGGATCCTGTATATAATAGTCTCGTACATGCAGGGCTAAGGTAATTATAAAAAACTTTAAATCTGTCCGATAATTTTGGAAACCAGTGAAAAATTCAAAGCGAGTATCAGAGCTTTTAAAACGATCAATTGAGAATGATTTGCGTTTAAGATCATCTTTAAGTGAAGTGGTATCCCTTCATACTTTTCTTTCAAGTTGGCCAACTCGTCTTCTAGACGTGTACTCTATCCTGAATATTCTCCTTAATTAGGTCGATATTTTTTTGCTGCGGTATTGATTGTACTTCGTTGACTTTATCTACTTCAATTGCAATGTTAATTTGGTTTGTGTTATTGCTCAGTTCTGCGAGAACTGTTCTTTGATGAAGCAGCTTTGACGCTTGATCTGCATGGGTTGGTATGTTGTTTAAGTAGGTCTTTTTACCATCAGGGAAATGTTCCGAACACACACGATGATGGTCGTTTGGCGTGAATTCGCTCCGTCCAATCCTATCTATCCATGTATTTCTTAATGTTTGGTCTTTAGGGATCTGTGAAAAGACAAGGATGGTGATTTCGTCTCGTACTATTGCCACAATCAGGGGCACAACAAGCTGTACCACCACCTCGAGCTTTTTTCTTCGGAAGTGTCTTAATAATTTCGTCGCAAAAAGGTTCAGATGAAGTATTTGTTGACGTTGAGCATATTATTTCATCCATTAAGTCGGATAGACCATTAATAACAACCAAAACATACCTTGACCAACCATTTGGAGTAGTTATAAACAAAAAAAACAACCAAAATAATCCAATATTTACAAGTATATACAAGCAGCTACGTGTTTACGCGGCCGCCATTTTTATTTTTTCTGCCTAATCAGCAATATGATACCTTACTTCCCGTCACCCCGTGCGCGCATAAATTTAAAGCTGGAATGAGCAGGATTTGGCAGTGCCGATTATACGAGAAGACCCCATGCACGAGAAGACACCATGCACGAGAAGACCCCTTGAGCCCGCGTTGTGTTAATAGAGCCTGATCTCAGGTTAGCGTTGCCGCCCGCGTTTAGATAAACATTCGCAAATTGAAAATTAGAAGATGATGGCGCCATAAATAACGTATCATTTATATGAATAACGATGAATTTAACCTACAGAATACGTATTATCCAATCCTTGGATCAAATATTTTCTGTATCTGAAGTAAGGTACGTTGTCCGGTCTATTTTATAAAACGCTTGATCTGCTCGCAGTGAACACTGAACATCATGTTGTGTGATAAAAATTAAAAACTGGCATGCTTCTAAAATTGTAATTATGACAATGTTTACGTATGTTCGTGTAGGTTCATCAAATAACGATATTTAACTGAGAGTTTAACAATTAATACTTGGACTCTTTCTGTAGGATTACTATAGGTTACAACGATACTACGACTCACTACTAAGGGATATATCATTATATGTCGCTTTGAATTCTTTGTGCTCGCTGCTGGTAGATTTGTGTGTAGAAGGGGACTGAAGGGGTGGTAAGCATCTAAAATAGCTTATTTAACTTGTGTAATTGTGTTTAGTGCTTACTGCTGTCATAGGACGCGTTGTTTTTGAAAACACAGGCACTGGACACACGTCGAACTTCATATAAGAATAATTTAGTTAACATTACGTAATGCTTTGGCGCACATGCGCAGTAGATTAAGTAACTCGTGCTTGTAATCACGCTTTTTAAACAAACTTAAGACATAATGCGAAATTTATAATAAAAAACACAAAACAACACAAATTATCTCTTCCTGCACCGTTGGCGTATCTATTTATTGGTCCTTCGGAACGGATTCAACGTCTGAATCAGCGAATATCGTCGTCTATCAATTAGACACGAGTCAATATGCCTGTGCAAGAAGAGTGAGCAACGTTTGTACATAAAAGAAGCCTTGTTAAACGAAGAATTACCAACTTAGAAAAGAAAATAACTACATTTGTAGTGAAAGAAGAAGTCACGGACTATGACATGGTATGTGCTAAACAATTTCTCAGCGATATTCAAGACTTAGATCGACAATTTCAAAGTATACACGAACAGACTAGTGAACTTGCCCTTAATCTTGAAGATTCTGATTTAGTTGATAAGGATAATGAAGAATTAGAAATGCATGATGATCGAGTAAGAGAAAATAGCAGTAAGCTTATGTATTTTACTATGCGATCCAAACCAGATCCAAAAACAAGTAATACCAGTCTCAATGCAAATAAAGATAGTGATGAAAGTGGAAGCGATTAAACCAAAATATGAAAAGTGCGATCATTAAAGTGGAAACAGCCAAACAAAATACAGAAAAGCTAGATAAGGACGAACTAAATGAACATAAAGCTGAATTTTCAGAACTTATTAAATCGTTAGATCAATTGATAAGTGAGATTGAACAGTCAATCAGTGAACCTGACAATTTACAAGTAGATGACAGTGGCAAAAACTGGACTAAGACCTGTGCTGAGATGTATAGTGAATTAAAGTCAAATCAACAAAGTATAGCGTCCCTCATTAGTGAGCAACGTCGACAAGAAAATGCAAGAAAAGAAAAGAAAAGGAACAAGAAAAACTACTAATACAACAAGAGGAAGAACGAAAACGATATGAAGCCGAAGTAGAAGTTAGAAACCAACAGCACCGAGATGAAATCAATAAACTTATTGAACACTTCTCCAGCTCCTGTTCTGAACGACAGAAAACCATTAGACTTCCTGAGTTAAACATTCCAACCTTTGATGGCGAATCAACCAACTGGAAATCATACTGGTAACAGTTCGAAGCTACAATTCATAAATCTACTAAACTCACTGACCAGTTGAGAATGCAATATCTTCTGAAATCACTTACAATTCAGAAGGCGAGGGATGCCATAGAAGGCATTGATGCAACAGCCGAAGCATATCCTGAAGCAATAGAAGCACTGAAAGCCCGCTTCGACAGACCAGAAGTCATTCATCGTGCTCATGTACGAGCCTTACTCAACGCAAGGTACCTCAAACATGGATCCTCTTCAGAATTGAGAAATCTACACGATACTTTTCAACATCATCTTAGATCACTCAAAGCTTTAAAGAAACTGAATTTCGGACAGTTTATTATGGCACTTGGTGAAAGTAAGCTTGACCCCACTACCATGATTGAATGGCAAAAGTTCACTCAAGGTGAAACTGATGTTCCTGACTACGAAAAGTTCTTGGACTTCTTGGACCTAAGAGCTAAAGCAACTGAGCTAACAGTTCAACAGAAAAGGCCACCACAGTTTGGTGATAATAAAGGTAATAAGTTTAAGAATCTATCACAAGTTGCATCGCAGTTGACCAACACAAGTTGAAACATGGAACTGCCTATTGTCAAGTATATATTTAAGCAGAAATCTGTTCCAGAAAAACGGAACTTTGTACTTGCTCAGGGTATGTGTTTCAACTGTTTAAAGGGTGGGCATACAGTCAAGCAGTGTCCATCTCAATACAGTTGTCAAAGGTGTGGCAAGAAGCATCATACACTTCTACATCTTGACGTAGAAAATCGACAGCCCATTTCACCCAATGCACCACCACCCAATGTACCACCACCCAATGTACCACCACCCAATGCACCACCATCCAATGCACCACCACCCAACGTACCACACAATGTACCACCACCCAATGTATCACCACCAAGTCTACCATTTACTACCAGACAACCCTCCTCTAGTTCAACCTATTTCTCCAAACCCACCACAGCATCAAGTCAAAATCAGGTTAATTTGTCGACCCAAAGCTCATTAGCTTCAAACACAGCCCTAATGATGACAGCCAAAGTAATTGCATGTGGACCTCAGGGCCACCAAGCAGTCGCAAGAGTTTTATTAGATCCTGCTTCAACAGCCTCTTTCATTACCGAGAGGCTAGCTAATCAGCTCCAGCTCCCAAAACAAAGGCAATCAATTTGCATCAATGGGATTGGAGAGACACAATGTCTAAAAACACAAAATAAAGCGGTCGAAGTCAAAATAAAATCAGCTCATGATTCATCCTCATTAGAGAATTTGGATGCCATCGTTTTACCCTCATTAACGAAAAGTCTCCCTCTGCAGTCCATATCAGTTGGGAACTGGCCACATTTGGAATCACTGTCACTTGCAGATCCAAACTTCAACATTTCCAAGCCAATCGACATCTTGCTAGGTGTAGATGTTTACCATGAGATCTTGAAACCCGGTTTGATATTGGGACCAAAGGGAACTCCTGCTGCCCAAGACACAATCTTTGGATGGGTACTCTTTGGCAACACCAGTCCAAAACCAGTCAACGAACCAACAATTGCTAGAGAAGCCACAACAATGTTTGTTACAACATCACAACTTTCGTGTGAAGAAATTCTTCAAAAATTTTGGACTTTAGAAGAAGCTCCAGAAATAAAGCAAACATTTTCACCAGTTGAAAAACTTGTAGTAGAAGATTTTACTGCTCATCACAAACGTGACAAAGATGTCCGTCTCATTGTAAGACTGCCATTTAAGTCTGATGTTACTCCTCTTGGCGAGTCGCGACCTGAAGCGTTAAGGAGATTCCTGTCTCTCGAAAGACGTCTCCACAATCTAAAACTCTATGATGATTACTCAGCTGTAGTTAACGAATATTTATCGTCCGGACATGCTGAAAAGGCCCCTGTTAGCGAACTTGACAAACCTCCTTCAGAAACATTTTACTTACCTCACCACGCAGTTCACAAAGCTTCAACGACCACTCCAGTTCGAGTAGTGTTTGATGGGTCAATGAAAACCTCAAGTGGTGTTTCCTTAAACGACAATCTTCTCGTGGGTCCTACTGTCCATCCTCCCTTGAATGATGTGCTTATTCGATTTCGTAAACATCCCTACGTTCTCATCACCGACATCTCAAAGATGTATCGAGCAGTTGGCTTAGATCCAAATGATTGGGATTTCCATCGATTTCTTTGGAGAGATAATCCAAATGAAGAGATGCAAGAATATAGAATGAAGAGAGTCACCTTTGGGATAACTAGTGCCCCATTCTTAGCCACTAAATCCATTTTGCAACTAGCAGAAGAAAATCAAGCAGCACTTCCTCAAGCTGCCAAAGCGGTAAAAGAATCATTTTATGTTGATGATGGTCTTCCCTCAGTCAAGACGAAGGAAGAAGCCATAGTTCTTTACCAGCAATTACAACAACTCTTTCAGAAAGGTGCTTTTAAATTGCACAAATGGGACTCAAATTCACCCGAACTCCTCAATGCCATTCCAAAGGAAATTCGAAGTGTCACAGCTACAGCGAATCTGCCTGAATCAGACAACTTTGCCAAAACTCTTGGAATCGATTACAACTCGCAGCAAGATCAATTCCGATTCTCGGTGTCCGACTTTCCCACTGAAGAAACTGAACTTACTAAACGTTTAATATTATCAGATTCGGCCAAGATCTTCGATCCTCTCGGTCTTGTGTCGTGTGTTACTATCGTAGTAAAGATCATCTTCCAACGCCTGTGGGAACGAGGTATTGATTGGGACAGTCCGCTTCCTGCAGATATCGAAAGAGATTGGAAAGAGTGGAGAAATCAACTACCTGAACTTTCTTCACTGAGAATCCCACGTTGTTATGCTCCCATCAATTGTCAAATTGTTGACAAACAGTTGATTGGGTTCTCTGATGCAAGCGAAAGAGCTTATTCTGCCATGGTCTATTTAAGAAGTGTCGACACGGCCGGCGGTGTACACATATCTCTCGTAGAAGCCAAA